GATGAATCGCCCAAGTCCGGATGGGGGAGGAAGGTGGTCTGAGTTACCCACCCTTAACTGCTGCCCTTTGCCACTGGCGCTCTGGCCCTGTTCCCTTAATCCCGGTCAGACTCTACATTTTTATTATAAAACTCAGGCTGGTCTGGAAGGTGCCGTCGGGTGTTCATTACCTTGCTTGTTTTCAAACTATTCCTAACCCTTCTGTCCTGGTTGTTGTTTGACCTGAAAGATGTGGAGAACACTGCTGTCTTCTGTCATCTGTCTTTCTGCTTCACCTGCATAGGTCCAGGCCCATGACAGTGCCCAGTAGTCACTGGGGACAGTGTTGAGGTTACTTATTCTGAGAATCCCGTGCACAGCCAGCCCCACAGAAAAAAGACAGCCCGATGGGGTTGCCCAATTTGGTCCGAGTCCTGGGAAAGGACCCTGGGGCATCACGCTCACAGCCAGTAGGTTGCAGCTCACAAAGTCAATCGGTTAGGTTTTGTTTGCATTTTAACAGAAATCTTTAGAAAAAGAAAACAAATTTGCTTATCTTCTAGAGGATAAAAATAGGCAGGTGCGGCAGCCCTGAGGGCATTCAGTTTAGATGCCACAGCAGTAAAACTGGAGCTTTATTAATCAATAGGATGTAGCTCACTTGTTCTTTTAAAAGACCACTCTGGAGAAAGTGTTGGAAAAGAAATCCTTGGCCCTTCTTCTACACAGGGGCAGCAGACATCTCTTGGTAAAGGGAACTGTTGTAGAGGTTTCTTGAAATAGATTCCAGAGAACTGAGAGAACACGAAGACTGCCCTGATTCTGGGTACACGGGATTTTCATTCAGAGAGTTTGGTTTGAATTGAGAGCTCTCAGTTTTGCAGATCAGGCAGCTGTTGTCTTCAAGGCGAAATGGCACACTTGACCTCTCGGAGTCAGGGAGCAGCATCGTGTTCGTCCTGCTGCTTCAGGCAGGTTCCCTCGTCCCTTTCTCCTCTCGGCTGAAGCTAGTGAGTGGATGGGTTAGCAGAGCAGGACTCTCTTAGTGTTATTCTCCATCAATAATATATTTTAATTGTCAGTGCTGTAGATTAGGTGGAAGAATATCTAAATACCAAGTGCTAGTGGTAGCAGATAATGCAGATTGACACCCCAACTAAAAGAAAATTTTAAGGTTTTTAAAAATTGGCTAATTCTTCCAAAGGCAGTGGCTAAAGGAAGACTTCGGGCAGATAGTGGAGGGGAGGAGGTTTGCATGCCACAGGACGGTGAGGCCCTCACTCCCTTCTCTCGGCTCTGCTCAGCCATTGCTCAGTCCCTCTGTGGTTAGATTATTCCTTGCAGATAGCAATCAACTGGAAGGAAGTGTGTGTGTCTAATTTGCATGAGATTATTTAAAACAACAACAAAAAAAGGTCTGCATTAGTCAGGGTGATGGTAAACAACGCAAAGAGAAGCCTTTTATAATGTAGCCTGTGCCTCAGCTTTCAGAGCCAAATATAATTCACTTACAATTGGCAGTTTCCTTTATTATTCCTTTTAACCTTCTGGATTCTGCAAGGTCTCAGTCTAAGATCTGCACTGTGTATCTTGGCAGGGGTAGGTGGGAAAGATGGGACCAGGGCATCCAGATGACTTATGTGTGGGTCCTATGGCAGCATCCTCTCCCTAAAGGCAGAGTCATCTCAGCACCAGGAGCGGTGACAGGGTAGATAACTAGTTATGATTTGGAGAGAGGTGGGTGACCCCCACTCAGTCTCCATGAGTCCCAGGTGAATGACCTGAGTCATGGAATTAGAGTCCTGAAACTGGTTGGTCCTGCTTAAGCTTGGGACACTCCAGAGGAAGAGGACACTCAGGGAGCATAGATGCCCATCAGTGAGGGCCGTTTCAATTTGCTTTGGGGATAGGATACTGGAATGAGATGAGGATGAGGACACTCTACCTTTGTCACTCTGGTATTGTTCAAAAAGCTGTCCAGGTGTCATTTGCAGACAGGACCCAGGGGTTAAGTTCCCATGTTGTTTCAGTATAGTCCCCAAAGAAATTTCATTGGCTCATACCTGTAGATGAGGTGCCTAGTGTGGGCATGGGAGAAGAAAACTGAATCCTTCTCTAAACCTTTTTAAGAAGATTGAAGACTGAAGATGTGACTTCTGAATCTGTCATTTGCTGTTTTATAACTCTGTGATAGAGTGGAAAGTCACCAGGCTGGAGAGAGGGAGCCTTGGGTTGTCGTCAGCATTACCGTTCTCTAGAAACAAGTATGATGTGAGGCATAGTTTTCACCCTCCTAGGACCTCAGTTTTTTTAATCTGTTAAATGAGGACAGTGACTGGTATGATGGTCCGGCTCTGAAATTGTATTATTTGGTGAGATTGTTGAAATGCTTCTTTTTTAGCATTTAGAAGAAAAATGATTCATTTATTGTAACTAAATCAGAATCCTGACTCTCCCAGAGAACTAAGGTTATCAGAGTTCCAGCCAATGTACATTTAGAGCATCAAATGGTAAGATCTCTGGAAAACAAGAGCTTGGACGGAAATGCTGATGCCCTTTAAACTGTGGCCTCACTAGTGGGCTCGGCTGTGATAGTGCAAGGAACATGTTTTATTAGGAAAATAGGCTTCATAAAAGCTCAGGGCCAGAGGGCAGAACAACGGGCAGCGAGTCCTGTCCCTTTAACCAGTTCCAGCTCTCAGGGCCGCAGCACAGCCTGTAACTTACTGTATATTTCCCCAGTGTTAAACATTAGCGTACTTGTTTATATTTGAAAGAGCCAAAAGGGAAAATGAGAATGCAACTGAATGCTCCTTTTGGGAAAATTATCCTCATTTGCAGCCAGCAGCTGACAAGGCACACGAACCACCAGGTTTTTAAAATTCCGTAGTGTACCAGTGACCATCAGCCTGTGCTGACTTCGCAGGTGCTGCTTTCTTCTCTAATGGCTGATTATGAACTGGTTAAAGCAACGTCTTTCCTACCTTTAAAAGGGGTTCCCCCTTCCTACTTAGTAAGATGATTAGCAGTTACCACACAGGCTAGAGCCTGAGACGCACAAACTCAGGGGAAGTGTGTTCTGCGTTGTTGCCTGGCTTGTCTGTCCTGTCCCTTTTCTTCCTGGGAGGTGAAATGCTGGGTAAAGCAGGCCCTTCGGATTAGCAGTTACCACACAGGCTAGAGCCTGAGACGCACAAACTCAGGGGAAGTGTGTTCTGTGTTGTTGCCTGGCTTGTCTGTCCTGTCCCTTTTCTTCCTGGGAGGTGAAATGCTGGGTAAAGCAGGCCCTTCGCAGCAAGCTGGGGAATCAGAGAGGAGGAATATCCCATCTAGCTCCACTCTATTCAACTTCAGCTTTTGTATTTGGAAGGCAGTAAGTGCCAGTGAATGATCCTCTTTAAATCCTGGAAGCTTCTTCATCTGCCCCACCAATCTGTTGAGAGCATGGCATGGGTGGGGGCAACCTAGCAGCACTTCAGACTGCCCTGCCCAGCAAGGTGGCCCTGCTACTAGCTCCAGTGTGTGAAGAGTGGACAGAGGGGCAGAGATTCAGCTTTAGGTGGGGACAGACCTCAACTGGTCAGTGCACAGTGGAGCAAAAGGGCCCAGAGCCATTTAGAATAGTTCAGGCATTCTCCCTTGACTGGTTGTGGTAGGGCATGCAAAGTTTGAGGGATGGCTGCAGTCAGCTCACTCCAGTATGGTGCAGGGCAGAGCTGTGCTTTAAAGCATTAATGTGCACCATCTATTAGCCCCAAGGCGCATAGTATGAGGCACCACGCTTTTGAAGATGCTGATCCTCAGAACCTCCTTGTACTTCATCTACCCCCAGGGGCAAATATACCATGCTGTGGGCCTCTAATGGAGAGCTGCCAACCAGATGTGGAAAAGCTCTCGGCTCTAGTTTAAAAGCTCTGTGTTGCGGCTTGACTGGATATTGGGATTCCTGGAACAGGATGGGCAGGACTGAGCGGTCTTTTGCAGACTAGCAATGACCTCCCACCTGCTTTTCCCACTCTCAGTGACTAGAGCGCTTTTGTACACTCAGTTTCTTCCCGAGCGGGCCCTGTGGGAAAGTTGTTCTCGTACTTGCGTGCCACACTTCTTTGGGTTGTTCAGTGCCCTCATCTTCCTCCCAAGAGTCAGTGTCCCCAGTTGGCCCCAGACCCATTGAGGATATCCCAGCTGTTTGTCCGCTGGAAATGTGGTCTTCGTGGTGTTTTCACTTGCCTTTTTTCCTCCATGGGTAAATCAAATCCTTTCCACATGTTAAAGCCACTGCAGATGGCGCCATGCTGTTTCCTGATGTCCCATGTGCAGTGTGGTTTAGAGTGTCAGGAAGATTTAAAAAAAAAAAGGGAAAAGAACTAGCCAAAGGCGATATAGGCAGCCTATGATAGGGTAGAGTAATAATCATCTGAAAGTTTGGGCCTGGCCTTGTTTTGATCTGTTTTCTTGTTTTATTTTCTTCTTTACATTCTATATCCCATTCATACTAATCACAGTCAGTCCTGATTTTTCTTTTTATTTCTGCATTTGTCATAAAATAAAGCAAATTATTCCCGTCTTTGGAAACGATCTAGACTAATTAGTCGTCTCACCCAATAATTAGTTTTTTGTTTCCCTGTCTGTTTTCATGCATTATTGTTAGTTTTTTCCCCTCTTTTTTTAACACCATTACAGATTAAAATGAGCCACATTTGCAGTTGATGGTATCTGTTTTCGGGGGAAGAATGGAGAATTGCAGTACGGAGCGACTTCAAAAGCAGCAATAAACTCAAGGATAAATTAAGGAAATTGAATGAGCCACATTTGGAAGCAGTGTTGAGGCTAATATTCTGTCGCTTAAGGTTAAATTGCAACTGAGAGAGGTTCCGGAGAATCCAAAATCGGGGAGGCAACTTACTAGGATGCTAGGCGTCCTGTGGCTGTGAGGGTCTTTTCTCAATGTCGATTTTGTTGCAGCTGTGGACATTGGCAGAGGCCCTCACTCACCTGCAATTGTGTCCTCTTCTCCCCAGGGCTGACAGATGAAGAGATTGATGTGGCTTTCCAGCAGTCGGGCACTGCTGTCGACGAGCCATCGTCTTTGGGCCCAGCCACACAGGTGGTTCCTGTCCAGCCCCCTCACCTCACTTCGCAGCCATACAGTAAGTCACCCACTCACACTCCTGTTTAACCTTGACTGGGATTCAGGACTCTATAGCCAAAAAGCAGTGTTTTTTGTCTCACAGACTCAGCAAACTGGAAGAAACTGGGAGTCGTAGGAAGCTCTTGGGTTTTTCCAAAAGAATGTGACACCCCCAAATCCTCTTTTCAACAGACTTTTAAGTGTGTGACAAAAGTTTAAGAAGAGAGAAGGGACCAGAATAAATGAATTTATTGTGTTGTTCCAGGTATTTTGGTTGCATGCAAGAAACTGTCAAACTATTTATTGGTTTTGTTTCCATTTTCTTATACCAGTGCTTTTGAATGTTACTGTTTGGCTAATAACATGAACATCTGATTCACGAGTACATTCTCCTTTGCTCACTGAAATAACTTGTCTCCTTATTTTATTTTTAAAGTTAATATTGGTAGGTTTAGGCCAGCCTTCTGTCCCTTCCTCCTTCTGTCCTGGCTGTAGTGTATAAATTTATGTGGTGGCAGCCTGTTAGAGAACTTCAGATTAAAATGTAAAGGTCCTTTTTGAGCATTGCTTTTGGTTATTATAGGAGATCATGGATCACAAGGGGTTTTTGTTGTTTTTAAATGAAAGCTACTGTAGGAATAAAGGTTCTTCAAGCTGGTAATAAATATATACCTCTAAAATACAACCAGAACCCCTTCAAGTCACTTAGAAAAAGTCTAAAAAGGTTAAAATTGACTCCAAAGCCATGGAAAGTAGCTCAATTTTGTTTATTTAAAATAATAGCATCGGATCTGTTGTCTTTCAAAACACCCTTTCTGTAATTGTCTTCATTTTAATTGTCTATCTCAGAAGTTTTATTTTAAAAAAATGGCTTAAAGCAGCGTTAGATGTCAGATTTTAAATGGCGTCTCTTAAAATGACAGATTCATGTTGGTCCTCTGGCACATGGCCTGACGCTACCTTCTTCCTCTCACTTCACTGAATGTCACTTGCAGCTGGGTTGGCTCAGCACAGCGGGCAGGTGTGAGCCAGCAAAGCCCTCTCTCCTCTGCATTTGCTGAGGGGCCAGGAGTGTGTGTCCCTGGTCTCATCTAGAGGTCTGCTTCGTTTGCTTTCCAGATGAGGCTGTGTGGGTGCGGCCTGGGAGCCTCAGCACTGGCCTCACGCACCCACGGTGGCTTGACCGTGGAGGCCAGAGCAGCAGCGCTTCAGTGGTGAGCCTTGTATTTGGGCCACTGGGTCAGTGCCTGTGACTTGTCAGCTTAGGACTCATTTCTCCTTCCTGGCCAGCTTTCTTTCCAATCCATCATGTTTGCTTTGGGTCCTCCACCTACTTTACATGTTTCTTTTCTTTTTTTTTTTTTCCTTTTGTCTTTTTTACTGACCGGTAACGGGATCACAACCCTCGGTGTCGCGCCCGTACCGGGGACCGGCAACGGGACCGCAACCCTCGGTGCTGCGCCCGCTCCGCGCTCAGCCAGTGAGCAGGAACCGGTCTCCACATGGGATCTGAACCCTCGGCGGGAGTGCTGCCACGCTCCCAAGCGGCGCACTATCCAGTGCGCCACCGGGCCAGCCCTACATGTTTCTTTTTAACCAAAGGTTAAGTCCCCATACTTTTTCTTTAGTTGTGTCCCTGGGCCCAGTCATTTAATGGGATTTGTTGAGGATAGGCAGTGGCAGCTGGGGTGTAGGATTTTCTAAGATGAACATCTGTTCTATTCCAGCTGTTACCTCCCATCGCTTAATACCAAACAGGTCTCTCGGCTACTGGGAAACTTCTTGCTCAGAACAAATCGTTAGGGTTGGTCACGGAGTCATATGTGTGTCTACTTTCTGTAGTCACAAAGGGTTGAACTGTTAGTCTTTCTGAAAGAAGCAAAAGAATGGGGCGGGCAGAGGGCAATTCAGTCATTTAAACCATTCTCACTGAGAAAAAGCATAACACGTTTAGGTCTTCAGGTAGGAGAATTTTTAAGAGTCTCCCAGTGCTAAAAATAAAATTCATCTTCTTAGAGACAGACTTCTTCCCGCCTTGACACTAGTATAAAAACAGTGGTAATGATAATTTTAAATACCTGAAGTTTTTAGTTGTCACCATGGAGCTTCATTCTTCTTGTACCGTTACATTACTCCTTTCAGCTCCGGGGGTGACTGTACCTCTTCACTTCTGTACTTTTGCCAAGAGGTGTCAAAACTGCTCCAAAAAAAAAAAAAAAAAAAAAAAAAAAAAAAAGGCTTGATTTTGATTAATATAGAGAAACAAGACTTTGCCTGACTGATAATAAAACTGATAAATGACATTTGAATTACTTGTAGCGGTAATTTATTACATAAAATATCTTTTATTTGACATGCGATTAGTTGCTGGAAGCATCACTCAATCTGACTAGTTTAAACATGCTCTAAAATGAACCCCAGTAAAAACCAGGGCTGTCTGCTGCTGGCGTTATGAAATATACTAATCCTGGAGTGAGGAAAAAATCTGACTTTAAATATTTAAATGATTAATTGGGTTTATATATTTTTTTACCTTTCTAACCCCCTTAATTATAAGCAAACTCAGGGGAGTTTCTGAACTAGGTGTGTAATCTGCATGCTTATCACTGAGGCATTGTCTGCGTCCGGGAGGGATTTATGGCCTCTGTTAGTGTGTGTTTCTGCTGATATTACATCTAGATCCCTGGCAGCCCTTTCCTTACCATTTCTTGGCTTTTTCAGGACATTCCACCTCTGAGCCCAAGGCTAGAAAATAGGATTCCCTGGTCCCAGCCCCAAATGCTCATGTCTCAGGGTAGGGTAGCATTTCTGAGGCTACCCCAGGGAACACAGTGTCCCAGATTTTCACCTCTGGACCTGCTGCCTGCTTGGTGACAGACGTGCTGCTGGGTGCCTCTTTTGATATCTCTGCTGTTCTTCGGTGAATGTGGTTGACCTTGAGATGTTAGTAACACCGGTGCCAGCAAAGACATCATGGAGACCTACCAGAATCGTACCAGTTCCATTCCTCAGTGTTTACCAAGCACCTACTGTATGCTCAGTACTGTATCATGTGAGAGAATCAAAACATGATCTTTAATAATCTTACAGGCTCTTTGGGAAAGATAAGATAAACTTAAGAAAAGGATAATAATATAGGACATTGTGATTTAATGCCAAAATTAATTATACAGAAAAGAAATTCCACAAGAATACAGAAAAGAGAAAAATTAATGTGGGCTAGAAAAGTCAGGGGAGGCTTTGTGAAGGTGGTAGGAGGTTGACACCAAGGGGAAGCTTGGTGTCACCTGGTGTGAGAATAAACCAGTGTTCTCAGGGCTTAAAAGAAAGTCAGGTAGAGTTCAGGAAAAGTCAGGCTGTGATTCAAGAGAGATTTGACAGTCTCTGTTTCTCATTTTGGTTTCTTTTTGTTTGGCTTTGAGTCAGGACTCATCATGAGCGTATAGTCATGCACCGCATAACAACATTTCAGTAGACAGCAGGCTGCATCATACAACAGTGGTCCTATAAGATTATAATGGAGCTGAAAAATTCCTAGTGCCTAGTGACACCTTAGCTATTGTAACATTGTAGTGCAATGCATCACGCAGAAAGGAGCAGCAGGCTGTACCATATAGCCTAGGTGTGCAGTAGGCAGCACTGTCTAGGTTTGTGTAAGTGCACTGTATGACGTTCGCACAATGACACGTTACCTGGATTGTATCCCTGTCCTTAAGCGACGCATGACTGTATATGTGTAGGCCTAGCACAGTCCTGAACGTGGAGCCCTGATAAATGCTGGATTGACTGATTCGTGCTGAGATGATCAGAGAGACAAGAAGCAAAGTGGCTTTGAGATATTAGCAGGGCCAGTGTATTTTTTTAGGCTTAAATATGTTCCCTCACTGTCTTTGATAAACAATTTAGGCCCCTTCAAAGACTGACCTATAGCTTCAGTTGCCTCTTAAAATAGGATGTAAATGTCTAAGGCTGGTGAGAGGCTCGAACCATTTGATTAGGAATCTTGAGAGTGAGTGTTTTCTCAGTTTGCTTCTTTTGTAGCCCTATTTAAGTAACATATACTCATCCCTGACTATCTAAATCCACAGAGCAAGTGTTTATTATTGAGTGCCTACTGTGTGCCAGGTGCTGTGCTAGACCCTGGGATGAAAAGATGAACAAGGCCCAGCCATGCTCTCCAGCCTCCCCATCTAGTAGGGAAGGCAGTTGAGCACACACAGCAGTGACTGTGAGGTGGCCCCAGGGAGGAGGGTGGCACACAAGGGGCAGAGGGAAGCTCCAGAGAGCAGATGTTAACTGGATCTGGGGGGTGATTGGTTCAGTGATCAGACAGGATGGACAAGAGCATTTCAGGCTAACTGTGATGTGCTTAAGAAAATCTGGGTCGTCGAGTGGCTGGAGCAGGGATCGGGAGTGTCAGAGAGAAGGCTGGAGAGGGAGGCAGCAGCCAGAACACTGCCTGGTAGAGGACAAGCAAAAGCACCGAACATACAAAAATGTTTTACTTTGCCATGCATCGTCTATTTTTGAGGCCATATTACCTATTTGACCATGTTACTCTTAGACTTATATTAAAATTATTTGTATCATCTGAGCAGATGTCGCACAGGGAATTAGGGAAGACATCCTGAGGGTGCGTTGGCCTGGACTGTTGTCCCGATGCTCTGCCTGTGCTGCCTTCCCCATCGTCTTAGTTGGCCAGCTCATCGCTGTTCTTCAGGGTTGAGACCTGCTGTCGACTACTGGAGGGAATCTTTCCAGTGCTTCTGTTCTGACTAGAATGGAGATTCCCCTTGGCCCTCTTAATCCCCCTACTCCTTGCCACAGTTCATTTAAATGTTTATTTCAGTGTCTTCTCTATTAAACTTTGAGTTGCTTGGGGTTTTTTAATCTAATGGCCTGAGGCTCTGATTTAGCAGGTGTTCTAGAAATGCTTGTTGAATGGATAAAATGGTGGTGGAAATGTGCTTGAGGACAGAAAGGCATCTTAATAGCGTCAGCTTAGGCAAGCTGCACTGG